ATAAACATGTTTTGTCCATACTATTTTTCTCTCCGATGTTTAATTTTAATACAACATAGTATGAAATAGGAATTTGTGACTTAAACAATAAACAAACATAGTGGAAAAGTCAAATTATATTTTAATCTTGAATAAAAAACAGGACAAATACATAAAAATGATTCACAGTAAATTTTTTACAGTAAATGCTCAAAAATTAATAATAATTATTTAGTATTATTAATAATAATAATAATAATAATAATTAACAATAATTATTATTCATAATAATTAATAATAATTAGTTAATATTAATTGTTAATTAGTATCCCATAATGATAAAAAAATCACGTAACTTGTCAAAATGTGGTTTTCCAGCATTATTTAAACATATTTTGCAAGCAACAAATTCGGAACTTGTATATTTCAGGAGCAACAAATTAGCAACAAATTCTTATATTATTATTATGTACAATTTCGTTGCTATATATATATTGTTTCGCTAACTTAATCTTTCTTTAGCGGAACATCATTTTTTTTTTAAACCCACAGAGCAACAAATTTTTTTCATTGGCAACTTTTTAGCAACAAATGAGTAACAAATAAAAATATTAATTAGAATTGGTTCTGCTCATTTTGTTCCGCTATAACTTATAAGACGTAAAGACTTCTGCTTTATTGAGAGTTTGAATATGATATGAGACCAAAACGAAACGTCGCAAAGAGAAATATCATCTCCGCCGTAGCGGTGGAGTGCTCACGCACACTACCAGGCGCGCGGCTCACCGACGTGCGGCCGGCTAAAGGTCGGCGTTGATTGGCCAGACTTTACTCAATAATAATTCCTTTATTAAGCGTTATAAAAAAAATAATTCAGGACTTTTCGATTCAGTTTGACCCAATCTACCTCCACCTTTCGGTTGGTCACTTACTTGTCGGATACCCTGTATATACAGGGTGTTTCCTCTAACTTGAACAATTAGAATATTTTTGTTTCATTTTAAAAGGACTAATATTATGATAAGCAACAATTTTTTCTCACGGTTATATTTTACGAGATATCAAGGTTGTTGAATTTTTTAAATAGAACGATACATACACAATGTGTAAAAAAACCGAATTTTTTGAATAAAAAAAAACTTCGTTTATTTTGCCAAAATGTAAATATTTATTTTAAATATATTCCTTTTGTATTAATACAATGCTAGGCACACTGAACTAATGCATGAATGGATTTATGTAAATCCGGTTTTTGGATGACCTTGACCTTCTTCATAGGGGCTTGTATAATTTCATCATAATCGTACAACATTCTTTTTATTGTCATATTTATTTTTGGAAATAAGAAATAGTCGCACACTGACAAATTTGATGAATATGGCGGATGCTAGATGAGACATAATTTTTTTTTGGTCAGATATTTGCGTACAACGACGATCTTGTGAGACGATATATGTGTGTCATAAAGTGCAAATCTCTTTTATTTTTTTGTGATCACCTTTTTGTTGAAATTTTTCATTAAAATGTCATAAATTGTATTCTTGGGTATATTAAATTCTCTCTCTCTCTCTCTCTCTCTCTCTCTCTCTCTCTCTCTCTCTCTTCAACCACCGGTTTATACATCACATTCGAATCAACAGCAATAATTTCGTGCATTTTTTCAATGAGTTCGTCGATAGTCGTGATTTTCGAACGGATTAACTTTGGGTCTTCATTTGATATCCTCTCTTTCATCTTTAAAACGCTCATACTATATTATAAGTCTTTCCCGAGTAGAGGAATAATATTGGGACCCTACCGGAATTTTGGATCTTCCTTTCAGCTGGCAATCACTTTGCCATTGACAATGAGACAATCACCGGCCTCGTACAACCGTGTTCTCTCTGCTCGCTTACATATTCTTCCTTGACGTCTACAGGTCGGTCCGTTCTCCTGAACATTGCCCGAATGTCACAACGCTTCAATTCTTTGGAATTATCAACACCCTTCTCTCGGTTCATCCAAAACCTTCATGGCATATTGATTCATCCCACTTCTGAAATCTATAAGCCTTTCCCGAGCAAAGAAAAAATATCAGGGCCCTACCGGGACTCAAGCCTAGGACTTCTCTCTCAGCTAGTAATCATTCTGCCTCTGAGCCACTCATTATTTCATACCATCGTGTTCTCTTTGTTCATTTATGTATTCTTCTTTGATGCCTACAATATGAAAACTTGTATACGTGACAGACAGTCATCGCTGCAAGCTTGATGTATCAAATATAGTTTAATATTTCTAGTTTATTAAATTGTTACGTCCAGATTCGAGAAAGGATGAGTCAATGGAAGGGCATAACAATTACCTTTTATTACTCCGAAGTTAAATGTCTCGTGGCGTTTGGAATCAGGTCGAACGAACTGACAGGTCTGAAAAGCAGGTAAACGAGTCGCTATTACGCTGGTTATTCAGACGTTCGTTCGGTGGTCTCTTTTTGGTAAGAGAATTTAATCTCTTTTACACGGGATAGGACCAAGTGCGACCTTTCCACTAGGAAGGAGTAGGGGGTTAATAAAAAATTATTTTGATTTTAATTAACAAAGTATAAATTTATTCATTTTTTAAAATAAATGATAGATATACATGATTATATAAAAATTAAAATAAAATATTGTTGATTATAATCTCTCGGTGCGTGTGTGCGTGCGTGTGTGCGTGCGTGCGCGCGTGTGTGCGTGTGTGCGTGTGTGCGTGAGTGCGTGGGTGTGTGCGTGCGTGTGTGTGTGTGCGTGTGCGTATGTGTGTGTGCGTGTGTGTGCGTGTGTGTGCGTGTGTGTGTGTGTGCGTGTGCGTGTGCGTGCGTGCGTGTGTGTGTTTTAGTTTGCGGATGTTACATTAATACGGAAAACATCAGTCAGAAAACAAGGGAAAGATGCTATCGTTAATATTTAGGTTCTGACTGGTTAATACAATATAAAGGTTCAATGAGTACAAAAAAAAAAAAAAACCGTGTGTGTGAGAGTGAGAAAGGAAATAAAGGAGTATAGAGTGAGAGAATGGAGGGAGATTTTCTTGGTTAAATTTAATTCTGATAGGATGAATCAGATTCTAAATCAGGTAGTTCATCACAGAACTCCTATATGGCTTTTTCGAAATCATCTGACTCTGAAAGGTGAGGAGAAGGAGGGGATGAATCGGCCAGGAGGATTGTTGATAACGAGGAAAATGAGAAGATGTTCCGAGAAGTATATGAGAGAGTAGCTGGGGGAAAGGTGGTATGGTGAGAGAGGGGGAGTAGGTTCGGCGGTTTGTATCGTTAATTGTGATGGCTTAAAATTTTGTTCGGTGCAAAAATTACACTCTACGGGCGCTCGAGTCCTCCGACTCCTGCGATGAACGACTAATTTGCTGGGTTGCAGGGTGTAGATATTACCCGACCTGGTGTTCACTACGGAACCAGTGCGAATGTCGTAATGTATATTTATCGCGGGAGTTAGATATATAAATGAAATTGATTAGTTGTAACTTACTTTTTATCGCGAAGGCAGAAGGTTTCAGAAGCGAATTCGAGAGGTTGACGAATTCGTGCCTTGAGAGTTGCTCTGTTTGCGGTTGATCGAAAGATGATGCCGATTGAGGACACTAGTTTGCACAACTAATTAACTCGCGGTTCACGGTGCCAAAGCACAAAGCAAGACTGCGTGAAGACTGGAGAGTAAGTGTCTGAATGTCTCTTCGAGTTCTCTTTTTATAATTTTCTTTTCAGGGGTGTATTCTAATTCTAAGAGTGGGAATCTTCCAAAACTTCAACGAATTGAAATTGCGTAGAAGTGGGGATTCTTCAACTTTAACAAATTAAAAATTGTGCTAGTGTCCGCATTATAGGGCTCACTACTTTTTAAATTTTTAAACCGTGGTAATCGTCGATTGGTGATCTCGATATCAGTTTAAAGTCCCTTGAATATTAGTTTTCCCGGCGGACCCTCGCACACGTGATCTGATTAGAAGAAATTTTACTTTCTTATGATTATTTTTATTGATATTGATGCACCTGTATTTACTAAATATTTCGTTAGGAAATTTTATCGTTATTGATTCAGTTGTACTTGTCAGATATTTCGTTAGAAGGAATTTTATTATCTTTTCGGTATTACTTTATTCTTCCGCCGGAAACTTCTACTGCAAGGGATATCTATTGATTTTTATTTATTTTGAGGCGACCGGCGCGGTTTCGTCACCGGTCTTCTTGCGTCTTTCTTACGGTTATTCATAGATATAGTTATTGACAAGTGACTAAATGTTGAAAGAAATGTATGGCGCAAGATGCTCTGTTTACTGAACGATTCATTTTTATCACCAATCGATCATTGCGGCAACTTCGCGGAAGGAAGGAATCGTGGCGTCGCCAGGACGTAACAAAATCAATAGTTAATATTAATGAAAGGCCTGTGTGTTGCAGCAGTTGGATGGTTTATTGTTATGTCAAGTAAAAAAATTAGGGAATATTTATATTAACTTACATAGTACACCATTTTTCTTTTATCATATATTATAGAGGATATTTCTAATAAATAATACATGTTTTGAATTTTCTGACGCTTCTTTTCGGTTTCTGAGATATACAACTTTGAAATATTGTAAAAATAACATTTTAG